CAGAACTCGAACTTTTTAGGATTCGATCCGGAGTCCGGAACGGATTAAGTTCGAGAACCGAGGTACCACTGTAAATAAAACCTGAGCTGACAAGGACTGGTATTTTGCATGAATTTCAGTTATTTGTGAGGTATATATGCAGCTAGAGATCCATTAGAATGGGTTTTACTTAAAGAAATGTAAAAAAAAAATTTGAAAATCAGTAAAAGTAAACAGAACAGACAATCATTTCATGCCAAGCTTGTGGACAAACAAAACCAGTCACTAAAGTTGCTGATCCACCTGCTCTGTTCTTGGATTTACACAGTATTACCTACCTGCCTTTGGCCATATCCACAGATAGAGCAGCAGAAGATGGATTCTGACCACAGGGCTATTAGCAAGCTAAGCAGTCAATGCTATTACTCCAGCATCACAAGTAACAGAGTGATAGGGATAAGAAACATTTTTTCTCCAATATTTTTTCCTGTTCCTCAATAAACAAAAATACTGTTAACATGTGAAACAACCCTCATTACTGTGAGAATCTTCATTGAAGGATGAATTAATTTCCTCACTGCTGTCCAGAAATGATTGAACTTGTTACAGAGCTTCTTCGGTGGAGAAATGAAAGCGTGCAATTGTGAAAACAGCAAATACAAACTGCTAGATTTTTATGTCATTTTATGTCATTCTCGGTCGTTGTTTCCACACGGTTTATCCCGGCTTATCTCTGGCTTGAATTAACTCGTTGGCATATCAATAGCTGCTCGCATTTGGGGGGGTGTCCACAGGGACAAAATGAAGAAACGTGTAAGCTGATTGTTTTAATAATGTCATATAAAAACGGACATTTGTGTTCCTTGAGAGCACATTTGAAAGAAGGCACATTAAGGGTTGTAATGATATTTTTATTAAGTCTGTCTGACATAAACAAGCGAAGTTATTTAGGTTGTTCTTACATTTTGTAAGTTAAGGCGCTGGGGATACCTGGACTTTGGCCAAAACAGCACTGATTTAGGACGAGTAATGTCAGCAGTCCTGGAACTTAAGAATAGATTCGACGTGCGTCAGTTGTCCTTTTCTTTAGTAAAGTGAAACTACACTTTTGACCGTTCACTATCTTTCACAGCGTTGTCACCCATGCTAGCTTGCTGGGCGTTGATGCATGACGCATCACCCTAAAACAGGTCTGGCAGATATGTAATGTTTAGGAACCGATAAGCAGAACTGAAATTCAAACAAAAAAAAATAAAATAAAATTGAGTACCAGGTACTGGGTATTTTCATATCGGTTCTACTTTCAGTTCCCAACCCCATGCACCACTGCTACTTAAGTACTGAATAAAAATACTGTCACACAGAATGACATTTTCACCGTGGACAACAAATCAATATCATAGTATGATATTTCCGGAACCAACTACTTGTTCCACATGTTTGTCGAGTTTGGGTTATACATAGCTACCGATTTGTTTTCTCTGTATTTTTGAGAAATATTTCAACCAGAGCTGTAATGGAAAACCGTAATATGCCACCATCAGGTAGGTGTTCGCTAGGTAGTTTGCTGGCTTTGGTTTAGGGGTGCAAGAGATCATGAAATTCAGCTTCTATCGTGGTATGAGAGAAAAAAAAAAACGAAACTTTGCTTTCCATTTATTACTCAAAGAAGAAAACTCAAAGCAAGGAACTTTTAACATGCCCCATTAATGTGAACACGCAACTGCTTTGTCTGTATCTTTTCACTCCAACTCTGTATGGGATGGAACTCCATAGAGGACATACATCATTGTCGGTTTCTGTCATGTCAAAATCACAACTTATTTTTCTCTTCATCACAAAAGTTGCTTTCCCAAGATCACAAAATAAATTCTCGAAAGAACAAATTAGATACGTGAACAGCATTTGTCATGAGGAGGAGGGAAGTAGATTCCACTAGAAATGCCATGACTGATGCTATTTAGTCCGTGCAATTTGTTTGACACTGGGTAAGGAGTTTTACAGAGAGCACGGTCTGCGAGGGGGGGCGTAGCACAGCCAGAGACACTAGGTAAGGAGTTTTACAGAGAGCACGGTCTGCTAGGGGGGGGGGGCATAGAACAGCCAGAGACACTGGGTAAGGAGTTTTACAGAGAGCACGGTCTGCTAGGGGGCGGGGGCATAGAACAGCCAGAGACACTGGGTAAGGAGTGTTACAGAGAGCACGGTCTGCTAGGGGGCGGGGGCAT